GTGTGTGTGTGTGTGTGTGTGTGTGTGTGTGTGTGTGTGTGTGTGTGTGTAGGTGTAGGTGTGCGATACGGGGGTACAGGGGTACGCGTTAGTGTAAAGCAAAAATGAATGACACAACGCGTCAACCAAAGAACACAACATGCCGAGTATGGCGACGGTGAAACAGTGCTGCCAGTATCACTCACAGAGGCGTTCTTGACAGCAAGGCGGACGGCGTTGGTGTTTGCGGTCACCATCTCCAGGTCGGTTCCATCTGAAGAGCGCACGTCACACTGACAACGAGTGGCGAGCAAGGCAACAAATGCAAAGATGGACGGAGCAGGGGAAAGTCATGCTCGGTGAGTTGTTCGATCCAGATCACAACGTAAGCATGCATGTATTTGTGTGACTCTGTGCCTTGCTCGACACGAATCGCGATCGCTCTGCCTTTGATCGACGCACACGAAGCACAACGATATGGTTTTATCGTTCGATCACCAGCCACATCATTCTGCTTCTCAGCGCAAACAAGAGAAGAGAGGCGAACACAACAATCAGACCAGACCAAACCTGGGCAAGGCCACACGTATCCACGAGTGCTTCGTTCAACTTCACAGCAAACGCATCGAGGCGAGGCTGCTCGTAATCCTCGATCTTGTCGGAGCGAAGGCAGCGGAAAGCAAGCTGGGCAGAGCCATCATACGAGGCAGTCGTGCACGGCGAGTCAACCGGAAAAGCGGTGGCTGGGTTGATGGCGACCATCACGGCCATCACCACAACAACGGTTGACATGGTTGTCAGCTGGAGGTCAGGCATGGTATTGTTCGTTGTTCGTGCTCGTTTGGTTGTTTTAGGGGGAAATGATCAAACCTACATGCGCTAGGCTGGGTTGTACAGTGGGATGCCATGATGAAACGCTGAAAGATGACACCTGTCAAAAATGACACACAAACACTGTCGTTGTTGAAGATTCTCAATGAAAACATCATCATCATCGCTTCCCCATTCTTTGCTCAATGTCAAACTTGTTTTTTATCTGCTGCCCAACGGGCTCAAAACCAACAACAGAAACACCAACGCAAGCACACCCACACACCCACCCACCCACCCCCCCACACACACACACATGTGCCTTTCCAACACGGAATCAAGCGAGAACTTTGCTGCTGTTCGTCAATTATGCACTTGTCGTCAGACAACGCCTGCTGTGCACCACTACACTGGTCATCACACTCCGCCCAGTGCCAACTGGGCCACCAAACACACACAGACAGACAGACAGACAGACAGACAGACAGACAGACAGACAGACAGACAGACAGACAGACACACACACACACACACGACCGCGCCTCAAAACATTCAAATCGACTCCTACTCCTGCTATCTCTCTTTCTCTCTCGACACACACATACTCCCACCCCCCTCCCCATCCACGCAGACGCACACGCACACGCACACCCACGCACACATTACCCCCCCCCCCACACACACGAATAAACCGTACATCAGTTTGTGCCATGTTCGCCGCCCCCGCTGCCGCCCCCACTGCTGCCCCCACGCCCAGCAGTCTGTAGGCTGTTGCTACCATCATCATCAGCATCATCGTCATCGTCGTCATTGTCACCACCACCACGATCACGATTGCGATCATGCGGGGTGTTGTCGCTGTCACGTTGATCAGCACCGCCGTCGTCGCCGCTGCATGTAGTTCTAACGACAGGAATCACATGCTCGCGAAACTCGGGCGATAGGCTGGCGCTCGTGCCGTGACCCCGCCTGACCACGCCGTCAGCGTTGCCTTCACGGCTGCCACGACGACCACGGCCAGTGGCACCGCGTCCGCCATGGGGGAGGCCACCGCCACCGCTCTGCTGCTGCTGCTGCTGCTGCTGCTGCTGTTGTTGTTGTTGTTGTTGCTGCTGAAGGTCGCCACCCTCGCAACCACCGTCACCGCTGCCGGCGCCTGCTTGCAGAGGGCGTATTGTCGATGCAGTGTCGGCTGCCATGGGCTGCTTCCCTCGCTGCTCTTGCTGTTGTTGTTGCGGTAGCCCTGCAGTGGTGGAGGAAGCAGCTGCACGGCCAGGCTGTGATGTCACGCACGACGTGGGAAGCGTGGACAACGACGACGACGACGATGATGATGACACTACCAGTGCTGATGCTGATGTTGATACGGAGGTCGACGGGGGAAGCAAAGGCGCAGCGTGTGTGGTCGGCGCGTAGGACATCGTTTCCGCTGCGCCTACAGGCCGCCCTGATGTTGGGGTGCTCGTGACCATAGCTGACGGCGGCTGGCGCTCCGTCAGCGGGGCAGCATCAGCGGCCCAAGCAACCTGTGCACTTGCACGGCGGCGCAAGGAGTGTTGGCGGTAATGCTGTTGCTGCTGCTGCTGCTGCTGTTGTTGTTGTTGTTGTTGTTGTTGTTGTTGTTGTTGTTGTTGTTGTTGTTGTTGCCCTTGGTTGTGACTGTGCTGATGAAGAAACGGCTGCACATCGGGTGGCGGTGCCGAGGCCGTGTGCGGGCGCAGTGGTGACAGCAACATCATCGTGCCTTGTGGTGGCGACACCTGTTGCCCGTGAACCTGCTGCCGGTGTTGCCGTTGTTGTTGTTGTTGTTGTTGCTGCTGCTGGTGGTGGTGGTGGTGGTGGTGGTGGTGGTGGCGATCTTGGAGCCGCTGTGATGTGGGCGACTGGGATGACGCCAGGGACGACGACGACGGTGAGAGCGAAGTCGGAGACAGTGCCTGGTGCTGGTGAAGCGCCTGGGTCGCAAGCTGCGTAAACGCTCCGCGCGGCCGAAACTCACTGGAAGACGCCACCAGCTGCTGCTGCTGCCGCTGCTGCCGTTGCTGTCGTGGCTGTTGCTGCAACTGTTGTTGTTGTTGTTGTTGCTGCTGCTGTGTTCGTCGCGAGGGGGGTCCCAGCCGTCCGCCTGCACCTTCGGTATGCCCATAGGGGTGCTGCCCTGCCGCAACGGCACTTCCGTTATCAACGCCAATGCTTCCGCCACTGCCCTGTACGCGCGTATCAGACTGTATGCCCATGCCTTGCAGCGTGCCAGCTTGCACGGGCGTGAGAAACCCTTCGCTGCCAAAGCCTGCAGGCACAACAGCCAGCACCTGCTGTCCGTTGGGCAGGAGCAGAGGGACCAGGTGGTGCGGCTTGTCAAGGACCTCCACGCCGCCGTACACATATGACGGCACCTCTTCTTGCTGTTGAAACTGCGGCAGTTGCTGTTGTTGCTGCTGTTGTTGTTGTTGTTGTTGTTGTTGTTGTTGTTGTTGTTGTTGTTGCTGTTGTTGTTGTTGTTGTTGTTGTTGTTGTTGTTGTTGTTGTTGTTGTTGTTGTTGTTGGGGCTGCTGCATGTGAGGGTGGTGCTGACTGCGCTCTTCGTCAACACCCCCAACAACATTACGGCCACGTCCTACACCAGCATCTTGGTCTCCGCTGTCCGGTGCAGCGCGCAAATCAAGCCGCTGAACAGCCCGCTGCCGTCCGTGCCGCAGCTGGGCAGAGGACACGCCAGCAGCACCAAGATCACCATCAACATCACCATCGTCATCATCATCATCATCACTGTCGCCGCCCCAATCATCCCGACCACTGCGACGAACAGGCAACGCTGGCAGCTGACGTTGCTGTGGCTGGTGCTGGAAGCGGTCATCAGGGCACTGAAGCTGTGGTAGTGAATGGTGACCACGGGTGGGTCTCCTTACGTATCCATCACCACCGTCACCACCACCGTCTGCATCATCACCACCATGGTCATCCGTGCCATGGGCGGTGGCAGCTGCCGGCGTGGCCATGGAGGCGCCTGTGCGCAAGGCAGCGCGTCTCCCCGCCCGGCCCCGCAGCAGGTTGTGCTCGCGCACGAAGCCGCTGCCACCAGTACCACCACCGCCACGCATCTCCACACCACTGCGAGGGGCAATGTTGGTGGTGGTGGTGGTGGTGGCGGTGGTGCTGCTGCTGGCACCTCGCCCTGTGGCAGCTCCTGCAAACACGCCACGAGCCGCCATGGGCTCGGCCTCCATCCCACCAGCATCTTCATCATCGTGCCCCAGATCGACGTGCTGCTGCTGCTCGTCATAGCCAAAGTCGTGGTCGTGGTCGAAGCTGTCCGTGGTGGTGCTGTCCCCACCGTCTCCAGCGCCGTGTTGTGGTGCAACTGCGTGTGCGTGGCGTGGAAGCATGCCGGCATCACCACCACCACCGCGACCGCTGCTCCTGCTGCAGCCACCACCACCACCACCACGATGCCCACCAGCGTCAAGGGACGTGGCCGGGTGTTGCTGCTGCAGGGAGAGGTGGCTCTGCACCGTGCCGGCCTGTGTCGGAATCATCTCAATATCAGCGCCGCCACCACCACCGCCGCTACCACTACGGCTGATGGCACCTCCCCTCACGTCTGCATTGGACACGGACGACGTTTGCTGCAGACGTTGCTGCGCACCGAGCGGTTGTGCATCTCCCCGCTGCATCACCTGCGCTTGCTGTTGCTGCTGGTGCTGTTCAATGCCATACGAGTGGTGCATTGGTGCTGGCGTGACGTTGTGCGCCAACTCAGAGAGGCTAACATCATCATACGCATGCTGCTGCTGCTGCTGTCGTCGTTGTCGGTGCTGTGGTTGTTGGTGTTGAGGCTGCGGCTGAAATCGCGCCGTAGAAGCGTGGCGTTGTAATTGCTGCTGTTGTTGTTGTAATTGCTGCTGCTGCTGTTGTTGTTGTTGTAGTTGCTGCCGCTGTTGTTGTAGTTGTTGTGGCTGTGATGATTGGCGCAGTTCGGGCTGTGGCGGAATACAATGTGGCGGAAGCTGCTGAAATTGAGGAGCTACCTGCTGCATCATCTCTTGCGGCTGCATGGACTGCGGCTGTGGCTGTGGCTGCTGCTGCTGTTGTGGGGTTGCGGTGAACAACTGCGTGCGCGGGAACGCAGCCATATCTGAGCGGGATGCTGGTGACTCATCTGCGCTCAGCTTGCGGTAGTTGAGCCGCACCAGGTTGGCGCCAACAACGGG